CCGGGTGTGGTAGCACGCGCCTGTAATTCCAGCTACTCGGAAGGCTGAGGTGGAAGGATCACCGGAGCCCAGCAGGTCAAGGCTGCAGTGGCCGGATGCGGCCACTGCACTCCAGTCTGGGCGACAGAGTGAGACTCCAACTCAAAAAAAAAAAAAAGAAAAAGCTTTCTGCAGAGATCTTTATGATAATATTATATATGAGTAAAAAGCTATAAAAGCTTCAATATCCTAATAATAGAAATATTATTAATTAACTAAAACACACCTGCAAAAACTATTCGGCATTCCAAAACATATCTATGAAGCATATATAAATAACAAAAAATAATACTGTTAACAGTCTATGTGAAAAATCAGTACACTTATCTATATAAAGAGTATATAATACTATGAAGGAAAATATACACATGCAATCTGAGGAGAAATATGCTAAAATGCTAATGTTAACAGGAGCTGTTTTTCTGCAATAGCATTAATGGTGAATTAAAAACAACAAAAAATTATCTACACTTCCTAAGGTTTTTTCAATATATAAATAATACTTTTATTTTAAAAAGAGAAATAAACTCTTTCAAATGTACTTTTCCACTATGTATATAACTTCTTGTTTACAAGTTTGAGTTCGGCTTTTTTTGTACCAACAAGAAAGGCATTAGTATTTGATGACCCCACTATAGCTGTCCTCTTGTATATATTTTGGGCAATATAAATTTGCACTTTTTTTTTTGAGTTGGAGTCTCACTCCACTGCCCTGGCTGGAGTGCAGTGGCACACTCACAGCTACCCCAGTGTCAGCCTGCTGGGCTCTGGCGATCCTTCTGCCTTGGTCTTCCAAGTATCTGGAACTACAGGCACATGGTAGCACATTTGGCTAATTTTTTGATTTATTGTAGAGATGAGGTCTCGCCAAGTTGCCCCTGCTGGTCTTGAACCCGCGGGCTCAGGCAATCCACTCGCCTCGGCCTCCCAAAGCGCTGGGATTACAGGCTGAGCCACCGAGCCCGGCCGTACTTGGCTTTTTTATTTATTTATTTATTTATTTATTTTATTTATTTATTTTTTTTAATTGAGTATCTTTTTTTTTTTGGCTTTTTTATAATAATTCTTTTCATGTATTCTTCTTTTTCTCTACTTTGGACTCTTGTTAGGAGACAGAGGACATATGCCTGTTGCTTCTGTTGCCCACAGCTCCTTAATATATGCTGTATTTAGCATGGATGCATAACCAATACTGATTAATATTATTGTTCCTTCATCTGGGTCCATGAGGCACTTTGAGCCACACTTCTCTCACTATGATGCTGGAATGTGATTAGCTATGTGCCTGTATGAATTTCAAATGGGGCTTGGGACTCCTTGAAGCCAATTATCTTACTTATTTCTGTGTTTCCAGCATTGATTGTTACTCCTGAAACAGAGAGGTGCTCAATAAAAGGCACCAAAAGATATGTCATTAGAGTCCCTGGACCTGGGTGACAGGTAAGACATGCCTTCTGCTCACAGGCCTCAACACTTTCTTTTTAACTATTGTTCAAGCATCCTAGCATAGAGTACAGTGCTTAACCTCCGAAGTCAAACTTCTTTAGTTTCAGTCCTGACTCTGCTATTTAATGGTTCTGTGGCCTGGGCAAATTACTTACCCTCTCCCTCTGCAGTTTTCCATTTGCAATATGGAGTAATAATAGTATTTATATCAGAGTGTTGGGAGGGAATAAATACATCATACATGAACATTTGCATGTTCATTGTAGCAAAGGACCCCACGTGTAGTAAGCTTTTTTTTGAATTGAGGTCTCATTCTGTCTCCCAGGCTGGAATGCAGTGGCATGATCATGGTTCACTGCAGTCTCAAATACCTGGGCTCAGGTAATCCTCCCATCTCAGTCTTCTGGGTAGCTGGGAGGTATGTGCCACCATGTGCCCCCCAACCCTTTTATTTTAAAGAGATGGGGGCACTATGTTGCTCAGGTTGGTCTCCAACTCCTGGGCTCAAGCAATCTTCCCGCTTCAACCTCCAAAAGTGCAGGGATTATAGGCATGAGTCATCATGCCCAGCTAATTAAAAAATTTTTTTGGTAGAGACAAGGTCTCAGTGTGTTGTTTAGGCTGATCTTGAACTCCTGGGTTCAAGCAATTCTCCTGTCTCAGCCTTCCAAAGTGCTGAAATTACAAGTGTTAGCCACCGTGCCTGGCCTTGTAGCAAGCTGTTAATAGAAGATCATTAATATCAGAAGGCTTCCTCCTTATTTAAGCTAAACTACGGAGAAAGGCCTTGAGAACATGGTATCATGGGTTGGCAATGTAGCACTGTGGGATGCAGACCCATGTGAGAGGTGGTATTCTGTCACTTTGCCTATCTTTCAGTTTTTGAGAAAATATAAGTTTCAAGTTTATTTCTCTATAAATGTAAGTACAATGTGATGACTTTACTCTAGGTCAACACACAGAAAGCTACCTGGCATGCGTATCTCCCAAGAGAAACACAAAGCATATATTCAAACTGATTTTCATTTATTCCTGGCTATTAAAATTCTAAATCAAGATGGGTCCTTTAACTTAAATTATATGTTTGACGTGAAGCCAACTTGGAATTTTAAAACTGTGTTTATCTTGCTGAAGTCTATTCTTTCTGTTGTCCTTAAAGTGAACTTTATCAGCAGAATCATCTAATATAAACCATGGGTCTATGGCTATACCTTCCCAACATTTAGGGGGCCACAGAACCTGAGACCGACAGTGTCTCTGCCCCGAAGATATATGCATAATGCGTGCAGTGCAGTTATTCACCCTGGCAATGTCTCAAAGATGGAGTCAATGTTTCATGTGGGAAAAGAAAAAAATGCTAAAGGATAATACACTTCTATTGAAGTTCACACAAAAGCCCACAAAAGACCTCAGGGAGAACATTTTAATAATTTTGAGAGTCCCTGTGGCAAGGTTTCTTTTAGATCCACTGAGCATTTTCCAGGCCCTTTCTATACTAATAATGAGCATGAAACCCTTGTATGAAACCTTATGTCAAATGTGCTGCTGGCTGTCTTTGAAAATGACATTACTAAAACATAACTGCAAGGCTTCAATATGTCGGGTGCTGTGTATGTACAGATTCCAAAATCTAGTCCATTAAAACAAACAAACAAGAAGTCTTTTATAATGTTAATGAAATTTTGTGAAAAATTAAGGTTAGGTTGTTAGAAACAACCAATTTATAGAGCATTACAAAGCATGCTTAATTTTAGTATTATCTTCCTATTATCTCATTTTATAATTCATTTGATTTAACAAATATTTGTCAGATACTTCTTGGCATAAACAAGTGATTAAAAAATTACATTATTTGGTAATGTAGCATAATTATCATCTCTATCAGTAATGGAGACTCAAAAAAGGGCAAATAAGTTTTATTGTATTTATTCTAAAACTGTCTATATCCATTGACTCCTTTTTTTTCTTGTGATTATGTTTATTCCCTCCCTCCCTCCCTTCCTTTTCTGCCTAGTCTAACACATTACCAAGCTTCTAAAAGTAAACAACTGATGTGTTTTTTTTTTAATCTTCTAGAAGATTGGTGTTTAGGCAGGCCACAAAGAGAACATTCTGAAAGATTTCACTGGATGGCATAGCTGAGGGAATACAAATATCCAACATATTATTTGCCTTGTTAATTATTAGTATGGCCTAAAATTTCTCTTCTGTAGTAATTTTTAAAAATATGCTGGCTATTTAAAAAAAATCTTACTTGATTAAAGACATAGAAAATTCCCTAGGATTAAAAAAAATTCTATTTGAGACCCAGTGAGAAAGTCTGTCCTTGAAGTCTGGTGGCACAAACGCCAGGTCTATTTATCACATTCTGCTTTTCATTCACATTTCTAGTTCATCATTGGAAAAACAATGTGATATCGACAAGGATCTCCTGCTTATATTTTCAACATGTACGTATTACCTGTAAATACTTTTACAGACTCACCAATTTCATTCTGCAGAGAAATATTCCGAGACAGATTCCTCAGCAGGGAGACAGCTGTCTTTTTCACACTTGGGTCACCAACATGCAGCATCTTTCGGGTATGCTGGAGGCCATTTTCCTTCTGGACAACTGTCTGAGCTACTGATGTTGGCATCTGTTTATGGGAGATGTCTTGTAAGTGCCTTTGATTTCACAGTAATATTACGTTTTCTGTAGATACTAGAGGTTGAGGAAGATGTTTTAAAAGCCAGAACTGTGATAAAACCAGTCTAAAGATATTTTATTTAAATTCTCATTATCTTTTCTTCTCTCTTTTTTTTTTTTCTTTTTTTTCAATCGAGGTCTCACTCCGTTGCCCAGTCTAGAGTGCAGAAACATGGCTCATTGCCATGGCTCAGGCAATCATTCTGCCTCAGATTCTCAGGTGGCTGGGAATATATATCTCAGGTAGCTGGGAATATATATATGTTTTATATATATATGTTTTAGATATGACGTCTCGCTATATTACTTAGGCTAATCTTGAACTTTTGGGTTCAAGCAATCCTTCTACCTTGGCTTCCCAAAGTGCTAGACTTACAGGTGTGAGCCACCATGCCCAGCCAGATTTACCAAATAAAGACTCTGTATTCCAGTTTTTGGGAGTCTGAGAGAGTGAATTATCTGGTCAACTGTTTGCAATAATACTTCTAATTCATATTGCCCTGATTACTAATGAGGTTGAGCAAATGTTTTCAAATGTTTATCAGTCATTTCAATCTTATCTTTTGTAAAGTGTCATTTTTACATGACTCTTGTCCATTTTTACATGACTCTTATGTATTTTTTGTAACCAAACTTTGCTAGTTATCTATGTTGAAAAAAATCTCATTACGTGGTTTGTCTTTTTACTGTCTTAGCATGTCCTTTGACAGCATAAATTGTTAATTTTAGATAGTTGTGTATTTACTTTAGGGCTAGTACTTTTTGTGTTCACTTTCAAGAACTCCTTCCCTATTACAAGTCATGAAGATATTTTCCCATTTTATTCTTTAGAATCTTATTGTTTCGTCTTTCATATTTAGATTTCATTCCTGTTGGAATTGCTTTTTGGATAAGGTGTAAGGTAGGGGATACATTTTGGTTTTTTCCAGTGGGCACCAAATTAAATGTGTTTAAAGCACTCTAGAAACTCAAAAGCTGTTTATTTCTTTTAACTTTTACTATACAATGCTTAATTTTTTCAAATTTATACTGTAATTAAAGAGCTTGCTAAGTGGGTAAGTTTTACCAGTCCATCCTCTTTCCTTGTCATTAGAAAGACCATTATATTTGAGTTAATAAAGTTTAACCTAATGCTATCTAACTAACTAGAAATTACTGTCACAATTTTATACTTAAATCCTATGATCTGTCTTTTATGAATCTATTTATTTCAGTTCAGCTTCTTTACCATATAAGGCACTTGGTCATCAATTGCTTAGCACTGTCTCGGTCATGATCATACAGTCAATGGACTGGATATTTTTTGGAACTATGTTTAATGACCTACTTTTCATGTTTTTAAAATTTATTTATGCCTTTTAGAAATGATAAAAATAAGGATATTTATCAGCATAAAAAAATTAGAAAAAGTAATGATCAGAATAAATGTCAACATTTTAATAAAAAGCATTTCATAACTTAAAAGAATAAAGGGTCCTCATATCATTATCCTATGCTGCTAATAATTTTCTCTTATAAATCTCCAGTCAAGTTCAATTCTAACAACCTTGAATGTGAACCAATACCAGTCTAGTGAAGACCTCCCTTTAGGGGCCTGGACTAGTCTAAGGTTAGGCATGATTCCAAATGTCTTGACATAATCAGGACAGTTATGAAGATCTCTTCCCTGCTTGGGCCCTTTTTGGACCTGGTGTCTTTAAATTTCTATCTGTTTTTTTCATCTGAGTCAGATTATTACCAATCACAGGGATTCTGTCTTAATTATCCTATTTAACAGACACCATAACTGCAAGTAACTGTTACAGAACAAGTGCTCAAAAAAACATTTGTTCAGTAAATGAATGAAGGAATTTAGGATCTACATTATACACTGTATATTCAGAGCTTATGTGGCACAAATATCCCTGTATCAGGAACACGAAAGCACTCCTGGCCTATCTGCAGTCCATGGGAGGCTCTTGGAATAGAAGAGGCTAAAATACAAGCTTAAAAGGTTAGCTTATATTGAACTACACTGAGAGCACAGTAAGCTTAAACACACACACATGTACACCAATTTAATTTTTGATATTTTTAAGTTACTGGGAATTAGTAAGAGGGGTTCTATAGCTCAGCAAAGAAAAAGAAATGGTTTTAGGAGAACTAGAATGGAAAAATAGGAAATAAGATGATAAATTAATGTCTCTATGTCTTCAAGGACTCCTAGTTTCTTTCTCTTTGTACACAAGTACATTTTGCAGAAAATCAAAGAGATAAAAGTTTGGTTGTATTCTTAACCACAATGTTGAGAAGTATTGGTTTTAGCATTTCACAACTTTATTCAAAACAGGCAGCAAGCTTCTGTGTAAACACACATATTAAAGAATAAATATGATTTATCAAGGGAAAAAATACTAAAGATTTTGTAACCTAAAAGAGAGCTTTTCTCTATAGGGTTAGACAACTGGAAATTGGTCATGCAACGAGCTACTTTGGGGAGTTTATTCTAATCATTTTATGATCAAGGCAAAGAATATAAGCTTGGTTTAAATAATTAAATATTTATGGAATACCTGAATATGTAGCATGGTGCAAAACACATGGACAAGGGATAAGTTTTTACTATTTTATACATTTTGACCTTGCTGATATAAAGTAATGCATCTGGAAAGAGAATTGGCTCTTTATTCTGCAGTTGAATTTCTAGGACATGGAAGCACAGATGTCCTTTCCAACTCCATACTGCAATAGACATCTGTTGTTTTTGCCTGCCCAACATTTATTCTTCTTTCTTTGGTAGGAACACTCTGATTTTCCATTAGGAAGCCATTCTTTTATCTGTTTTAGACCACGTGGTACAAGTGGCAATGACCCCTGCCTGATCAAACCCATGTCCCTGGAGTTCACATGTGGGCACAATACTCAGACCCCACCAATCAGAGCATCAAAGCTTCATAGCCACAGGCACTGGCTCAGAAATGGGCAAGAGGCCCAATTAGGCCAGTGAGACACACACTCTGAATTCTTAACAGCACTATTGGGAAAATAATAGTTTTTTTTCCTTGTGGGGACATTGGGCTGGTAAAATGTAAGTCTAAATAATTCATGGCAGACTTTGCTACCATAAAATCAGCAGAGGAAGAAAGAGCCCAGAGATGGAGAAAACCATAATTGTTGTCGTTGGAAAACCCAGGACCAGTCATGGCAAAAAGAAAACTCACCCTGGACTTTTTGGGTTCCATGAGCCAAAAAAACCACAATCCCTGTTCTTGCTTAAATCAGTTTGAGATAGGATTCAGACTTGTAACCAAAAGAGTATTGACTCATAAAATACCTATAGGTCATCCACTTGCAATCTGACTTGACTTTGCAGAAGTTCAGGCTGAAAGTCCTAGAAAGCTAAAACATACTCTGATAATTTCTGACAATTGTCTTGACTGAAATAAGACAACTTTTGCTTTTAACTCACTGTTTCACCCTGGGACCTAATGTAGGTGTGTCTATAACACCATGTTTTTAAAAAGTAGGAAAACAGGCATGATACTCACTGGTCCACTACCTGCCGTGAGATTCTGGAGAGCTCCTAAAGATGCTTCCTGTGTATAGTTTCGGACACTCTTGGCGATCAAGGACAAATACATCCTTATCACAATGGAGTGCCACAGCCATTCCACGCCCTTGGGATTGCTCTTTTCCTCAGGTATCGGCATGTCCTGGCATTGCTGACCACACACACAAATGGTATCCAGAATTAATGCACTTCAAGTGATGTCTACAATTCCACACTCAAACTAAGAGAAAGACTAATCTTCTGCATAAAAAGCCCTTAGAATAGAAATTTTAAAAGCAAATATATATAATTTCCCATCACTTAACTTTTAGCCCATGACGATTATTTCTTCCTGATAACATTCTACAACCCCAACTTGACATTTCACGGTGAGAGAAAATTCAGATAATTAAGCATAGGCCATTCTAGAATGGATTTCAAGCTGCTGTTAAGTTAAAAGCTAAATTAGTCACAACCACCCTGAAGATAAGAAAACAGGCCTGTTCCCTCAGAGTCTTGTGAAGGTGTCCAGGATAGCATTAGAGTTCTAAATTTACCAGTTGTTCTCCAAGTTCATGAATACCACGATACTCAGAGGAGTAGAGAAGGTCACATTCTTTCAGTTTTCATGTCACTTCCTATGAGGTTTGCTTTTAGTATATCCAAAGTTTGTTTTTAGAATGCCCAAAGCCAAATATCAGGGCTACTTTTAATGTTATGACAATTGGCTATGTTGCATTAGGCTTATTTCCCAACCTACAGGACATATACCAGTATGGTTCCAGGGCTAACAGTGCGAATTTGGCGCCAGATTACCTGGGATTGATTTCAATCCCCTCTACTTATCTGCTGAATTATTCTGGAAAAATTAATTAGCTTTACTATAGCTCTGTTTCCTCAACAGTAAATGAGGGTATTAATAAGATCTACTTCAAAGGATTGATATAAAGATGAAAAGAACTTAAAACAGTGCCTGACATTCTAACATTCTGAGCACTCAGAAACACACATACACACGCAATTTCCTCTCTTATTCTCTCCCTCCCTCTCATGCTTTCAAAGACCTCTCAAGATACCTCTTTTACTTTCCTGCTTCGATTGCCAAAGCATCCAATACTTTTGTCATTGTCAGTCTGGATATTCCGGTTTTGAATATAGATATTCTGTGAATACTTTTCCGGGAGCTCTGCCTCCAACTGGTAGGAGAGGTTATGGAGAATGCACACACAGTTCTCTGTGGCCTGAAAAAGCAGGACATGAATGGTGATCACATATATATAGGCATGCTTTGCAGGTGTGATATGACAGGACGTGGGCTTTAGCTCCTACAAGGTTTACTGACTGCAATTGGGTGTGCGTGGACTGCAGGCGGCCAGGGGGAAGTGGAATGAACATGGCCAGAAGGCTAAGGTTAGATATGAATGGTCAGGAGGATCATGATAAAAAGTTGGTTTCAATTTCTTTAAAGTCGGAGTCTCACTCTGTTGCCCAGGCTAGAGTGCAGTGGCACAATCATGGCTCACCACTGCCTTGACCTCTTAGGCTCAAGTGATCTCCCTACCTCAGCCTCCCTAATAACTGGGATTATAGGCATGCGCCACCATGCTTGACAAATTTCTCTACTTCTTTTTTGTAGAGTCAGGGTCTCAGTTTGTTGCCCAGGCTTGTCTCAAATTCCTGACCTCAAGTGATTCTCTCATCTGACCTCCCAAAGTGCTGGTACTACAGGCGTGATCCACTGTAAATTTCTTTCTTTTTCTTTTTTTTTTTTTGAGTTGGAGTCTCACTCTGTCGCCCAGACTGGAGTGCAGTGGCCGCTCCCGGCCACCGCAGCCTCGACCTGCTGGGCTCCGGCGATCCTTCCGCCTCAGCCTTCCAAGTAGCCGGAATTACAGGCATGCGCTACCACGCCCAGCTGATTTTTTGATTTATTGTAGAGATGAGGTCTCGCTGCCCAGGCGGGTCTCCAATCTGCGGGCTGAGGCAATTCACTCACCTCAGCATCCCAAAGGCGCGGGATTACAGGCTGAGCCACCGAACCTGGCGTGAATTTCTTAAAACAATAAAGAGCCTTACCAGTTCACTTGTTAGAGAGTGTGTCCAGAATAACTCTATATTTTACATAAATAACTTAGTGGCCATGCTAATTTGGAGAAGAAGAAAAGATACTCTTTACACGGATCAATTAGGAAGCTATTACAATAATCCGTATGAAAGATGCTCAAACTAGGCAACCAGTAGAAGCATTAGAGGACTTTAGTGGACATTAGTAGATGCATTAAAAGTCCATTCAGAGATGGAATGTATATAATTTGTTGCCCGGTGGTTATGGGATGTAAGGGAAGGGAGGCAGTGTGAGATTATCCAGATCTCTGTCTCCTTCTGGAGGATGGTGATAATTATTAAGAAGGATTATACAGAAAAGGAGCAAGTCTGGAGATGAGGGAAGAGATGAATTAAAATTCACTGCTGGCCGGGCGTGGTTGCTCAAGGCCGTAATCTCAGCACTTTGGGAGGTTGAGGCGAGAAGACTGCCTGAGTCTAGTGGTTCAAGCGAGACCTCATCTCTACCATATATCAAAAAATTAGCCAGGCATGGTAGCAGGCGCCTGTAGTTTTGGCTACTTGGAAGGCTGAGGTGGAAGGATCGTGGGGGCCCAGCAGGTCAACGCTGGGGTGGCCGTGAACGAGCCACTACACTCCAGCCTGGGTGACAGAGTGAGATTCTGACTCAAAAAATAAAAAAATAAAATAAAATTCACTGAACATGGCGATTTGGGCTCCTTTCACATAGCCACAGAGTTGCTAGATAGACATCTGAGACTGGAAAATAGAAAAATAAGGCTGCAGATTTTAATAGTTTTTTTTTTTGAGTCAGAGTCTCACTGTCGCCCAGACTGGAATGTAGTGGCATACTCATAGCCACCCCAGCGTCGACCCACTGGGCTCTGGCGATCCTTCTGCCTCAGCCTTCCAAGTAGCCAGAACTACAGGCGTGTGCTACCACGCCCGGCTAATTTTAAGATTTTAATAGTTCTAATAAGCATGTATAGGAAATCTTAGACTCAGTGAATCAGTCAGTGAATAAATCTAAACCCAAGCAGCTACTTTAAGAGTATTCTAGGCCGGGCGTGATGGCTCATGTCTATAATCCCAGCATTTTGGGAGAAAGAGGCAAGAGGATTGCCTGAGCCCAGGGATTCAAAGCCAGCCTGGGCAACTTGGCAAGACCTCATCTTCACAATAAATTAAAAAAATGAGCCAAGCATTGTGGCATGTGCTTGTAGTTCCAGTGACTTGGAAGGCTGAGGCAGAAGGATCACTTGAGCCCAGCAGGTAGAGGCTGTGGTAGCTGTGATCATGCCATTGCACTCCAGCCTAGGAGACAGAGTGAGATTTCAACTCAAAAAAAAAAGAATATCCTAAAACATCTTAGTAAGACAAAATAGGAATTCAATACATGACATATTTAATTCTTGAGTTACCTTGTCATCTGGCTGGTAATCTGCGATGGTTCCTCTGACATAATGGACCAGTGAGTCAATGAGTCCATCACATTTTCTCATGACTTTCCTCCCATCAGGTCCAGCTGAACTCATGTTTCTATTTGGAAAAACAAACCAGAAAAACAAGTCTTAAGCCATGTATACAGCAGGCCCTTGTTTTGAAGTATAGTATTTTACTTGATGCTTCTGCCAGGTGTTTAGAAACCAGCACATTTGTAAAAGCGTGACAGACTTGTCCAGGAGCCAATAAATCATAAACTACCTAATGGTCATCAAATTTGAACACAACTTCTAAATATATTCAAACAACATGCAATCATGTCATAAGTCTTCTGTCTACTTCAAGTGCCAAGGTTGGAACATTATTTACCTAATCTTCACCCCATTTTTGAGAGTGTATATATGAGGCAAATATTTAGCAACTAAAAGAAGAACAAATGGTATATTATGCATTATAATATGTTGGATGCCCAAGTCCCAATTGGCTCCATGTCTCAACTCTAAGTAACTTAAAGTCGCTCTGGATCCTAGTTTCCTCATTTGTAAAGACATTGTATTGAACTACAGTATTTTGGGGTTTTGCAGGTTTCAGAATAAATTGTTATTGACAACTATTGAATCAGATGCTCTAAAATATGATGGTTACACAATTAAAATGGCAGAGAAATGTTATAGAAACTACAAAGTGTTTCCAGTGTAAGAACTAAGTCAAAAGCATGACCAGTAAACATCTTTGCACTTAGTCTATTTCTAAGTCATGACACCTTTCTATAAACAGTAACTCAATGTATAATTGGAAGTTGCTTCCTTATAGAGAAATCAAGCTTACAGCAAAGTAATCCATTCAGGGATTATACTGTAGATTTAGATCATGTTTATAGTCTGGTATTGTTGTTTCGACCCTTTCTTTGGACTGCGTTTTTCTTGTTAGCATTAACCACTTTAAAATATTTATTTCCTCCAAAATGTCAATGCCTCAGTCAATAAAAATTGCAAAAGAGTAGTGCCTTCAGGTTTTTAGAACTTTAGAACCTCCCCAATCCCAATTTTACATGCTAAGAATTGGTCCTATAAAAGATGTCAGATCAGTTTCTTTTACTGATAGATAGAATACCCAAAATATATATCTAAAATATATTCAAGACTTTTTATTTATAATGTCTTAGTGTCACTCTGAATATAAAAAAGAACTACAACTTTGAGACATTTTTGGGATCTTATTTTCTTCATCTTCAAATATATTTGTACTAAGTGATTTCAAAAAGGCATTCTGCTAAAAAAAAATACTGCTTTCAATGCATATTTGTCAAAGAACCAAATGTGTCCAGAATTACATCAAGAACTAAAGGGAACAAAGGGGAAGGACACAATATTATATCCTGCTTCCATGGAGCTCACATCTATATGTTGAACTCTGGGAAACTGACAATAACTGACTGTTTTTAACCCATAAAAATGGCAATTTCATGACTCAACCTCACAGTTGAGGAGATATGACTAACACACCTAGAACTAAGAATATACTAACAATTAATGGTTACTGAATTGATATAATTTTTGACTTTAACAGAATCTTTTCTGTAACTTGTCATTTGATTTTTCTAAAGATTCATTTCCTTTAAAAATTTTGACTGTACCCGAAAATCTTTGACATGTTCATTAAAAAATGAATGAGTTCATAAGCTAGAAATAAAAACTATTTTTACTATAGTTTTTTCCTGAAGAAATCATTTCTAAGCTAAGATCCTCTCTCTACGCTGTAGCCCTTTAGGAATCATGGGTTTTAAAAAGCTTGACAGAAATGGAAAAAGCATCTTTTCTGGTCTCTTTAATTTATACATGAGAAAACTGAGGCCCAAAGAGTTAAGTTAGTTTTCCTGGTGAAGGTAAATTAGTGGTAAAGTCAGGGCAGGAGGGCTGTTCAGAGCAAACCCGCCTCCCATTCATTCAGTCTGCCATTTGTTTAGCAAATGCCACATCCCCAACTACAAGATGATGTTATCATAGTTTCAAAGTGTCTCTTTGACCTTTTCAGCTGCTGGTGTGGAGGGGAGGCGTTGGCAGTAGTTTAAAACTGCTTTGACAAATCAAAAGGTCTGTCTTTCTTTACTAGCTGGATTGCCGATGGATGACTTAGCTTTGTTTAACTTCAGGGTGTTTATTTTGGGTTAGAATGGTAATTCAGTTTGGCAGTACTGGCAGTTCACAAGTACTAACTGTTGTCTTGTTGTTTGGCATTATCCAGACTCTACTTGTTGGAAATGGGACTTATCAGGGGTTTCTGGCAGTTGATACCTTTGTTGACAGAAAGTGCATGGAACCCCATTGCTTCAGTATTTGCCCCTGCATATCGCAAATAGTTCCCACCTTACTCAACTACACAGAAATATGAATGATAAGGGGAGATTATTTTACACCACTACACCCATGAATAGAAGTCATTAGACAGAAAGTAATTTGTTATTGTACCAATCTGAAAATAACCTATAATTATAGAAAATGGTATATTTGTCTTAAAGTAGTTTTCAACAACAAATACAAAAGCTGTGGGAATCAGAAAATTACCATGGCTATACTTAGGCAGAATTGAGCTTTTTGCAACATGTCTCCCAAATCCTGAGAACTATTTATTGATTACTATTTCCTATATGCAACCCAATGGAGGTTTAATAGAAAAATATCTCAATATATAAATGAAATATACTGAAACGATGATCTTATTGCAAATTAAAAGAGAATGAGCATGCAAAGTTGTTACTCAAGAAAAATTGATTATCAAAGTTACCAAGAGAATATTTTTTAAATGTTTAATGTAGTGCCTATGGTTTGCCTCTGATTAAGTGATGCATTTATTTTCCCTGGTATAATCAAGCTGAGTAATTATGTGGGTACCTTTAAGGACATTCAAACTGTATAATATTGTATACTGAAATTTAAAAACAGGTCCTTGGTCTGGTGGTGGAAGGCAGGGATCACAGGAGAGGGATGAAGTGAAGAAAAAGATGGACTACTCTTCACGTAAAGGCAGGATTGTTCTGGAGTTCTTCACTTCCACTAGGCCTAAATAGGAGGACACCAGATTGACCTGTAGCCAGTGCTTGATGTCAAGGAAGAATTTTTCTGGCAGTGTGACTTTATAATGAGATTGTGGGTGGGGGGAAGAAATAGAACCTGAACCTCTGTATGCCTCTGAAAGGGTCACAGAGTCTCACATATTTAGGAGGATCCAGGTGTTTTATCTGAAAGCAAATCTGTGACTTTTGACTCCTTCCAGGCCAGGACCACTTATCTTGAACATTCCTGAGTGTCACAATGAAAAAGAGAAAACAAAACGAAACACCCTGGTCTTTGCTAGAGTTAAAAGGAAGAATGGTATGTTAATGGTTAAGATTAATGACGGGGTGACTAAATCTTAGATTTATGTGGTAAACTGAAGAATGGGCAATGTCAAGTAATAAAAATCGCTGCAATTTAGTGTTTGTACTAGACATTATGGTATCAATTTACAAATATTATGATCTGTAATTTTCACAAAATTCTTGAATTAGAGTACCCTAGAATTTCATTCTGGGAAATTCTGACCGGTGACTCTCATTTATACTCAAAATTAACTACTTCCAACAGGATTTTATTGGCTCTTTCAAATAAGATGGGTGGGTATGTGGCCACATGCAGGTGTGCTGATAAACATGCCTGGTTTACCAGCACTGAAAGGAAGTTTGTTACAACACAGAATGTCCAAGCTGAGTGTATGGTCAGCAGGCCTGGGGAAATGCTGAGCTAATGAGAGACGGTTAAAGTCCAAAGTTTTTATTAGTACCAGGACATGAGAATGTCAGATAACAATAGGGTTGGCATGCATCTTTTTGAGACATTTCCCCAACAGAACAAGTCATTTTTTTTTTTTAGTCCAAGTCTCACTCTTTCGCCCAGACTGAAGTGCAGTGGCATGCTCACGGCCACAGGAATGAGCCGTCACACTCGACTAATTTTTTTTTTTAATTGTAGAGATGAGGTCTCACCAAGTTGCCAAGGCTGGTCTCGAAGCCCTAGGCACAGGCAATCCTCTTGCCTCTGCCTCCCAACGTGCTGGGATTACAGGTGTGAGTCACCACGCCTGGCTAAAACAAGTAATTCTAACAGGCAGAATTTTTTCAAGTGAGGCTATACCCATTCGATAATGGGTATGGTTTCTTACTAACACAGTCTATGTGTACATTGTATACAAGGTCTAGTCCAGGCTATGGAACCAGTCTTGAAGGCTTAACCAGCACACTGAGATAGTGATCACTTCAATGGTTTTAAAAAATTGTGGATGCATCTTTGTGTTCACCAATAATCATAGGCTTCCTATATTGTGTAATGCAAATTGTGCTGTAAGGTCTTGAGGGGTACCAATCAGGTAAGCACTTGGGAAGCAGAGTCAGAATCCCTTCCAAGACTGAGTAGGTACTTAATAAGACACTGGCAGATTAGGAAGCATCCTTCTTCCTCTTGTTATTTGAGATTTAGGTCTGGGCTTTTGTTGAATTTGCAACTGATACATATCAAACAGTCAGGCCTTGTCTGTGATTAACCAGGAAGACCAGCACAGGCGGCTTGTGGTTGCACATAACAAAAGAGGAGCCTCATTTGAACTGGCAGAGGAAGAAAAACTCTAGGCCAAAAGAAGGGTTTGTCTGTTACTCTGAAGTTAACATTAGTTCCTGAAGGTATCAGCAAACATCAGCCAAAGTCAATCGTTCAGTCTGCAGACAGAGCAACACTGGGAAATAGAACAAGGGTCTACAACCCACACATCTTGTTCCTTTCAGCACAAGCAAAATTTACCCAGTAAAGATATGTCGGCATCTATTATGCCTCAAGAAACTAGAAAGTGGTGAAGGAGAAAATCTAACCTTAAAAAATCCCTTAGCTCTGTTTTCCTGAATTTTCAGGTCATCCAAAAGCATTCTGAATAGTCAATTCAGCTAGTAATGATCTGGATGGTAGGCTACAGTCATTTCCTCTTAATTTAGCTGAAAGAGGTTGTTTAGTGCAGAGTGCCAAATTCCATTTTAAATCAATTATAAACAGCAAACTGGAATCTAAAAATTA